ATTTACAGGGCATTAATCTAATACTGTGAAGCTTAAATGACCCATTCTAAATTATCAAAATCACAAAACTCGAGGTGGCCCACTGGGGAACTGTTTATTTAATCATCAGACATGGAGAAAGGTTAGAAAACAGGAGTTTCCTAAAAAAGTTGATGGGAGTATAGATTGGAACAGAGTATGAAAATCAGAAGGCAATTTGGCAATATCTATGTCAAAAACATTAAAATACACATACGTTTTAAGGAAAACTTCCACATCTAGGAAAGAGGGGCCCATGTAAGATAACCATTAAAACAGGTATCAGGACTTTTCTGAAGGGGATGGCCAAGAGACCCAATATAACATCCTCTCTCCTCTTTCCAGAGTCTGAGGCTATACCGGCAAAGGGTTAGAATCCTATAGGACGCTGATTTGGTGTGGTCAGCCCAAGTTCCCAGAGCTCGGCCTTGGGGAAACTACAAAGCACAAGTGAACACCATTTCACACAACAAAAACGTTACAAGAGCTGTAATAGCCAAATAGTGAAACCCTTCTAGCAGCTCAGCAGATACTACAGAGAGGTAGGTAAAAGCAAGCGCCCCTTACAATCAGCTCTTCCAAGGTACTGTAACGCTGACAGAGACAGATGCTCAAGGAGCTCAGGCAACTGCTCAACGATTCAGTGGTTTTACCTTCCATTACACCAAAAATGACAAGGATATTTAAAAATGATAAAAATCGATAAACTCAGCTAGTCTCTGTGTTAGGGACTGTTTTTTCTTTAACATAAAAGTTACAAAGAGAGCACCAAGCATTCCCATACATCCGTCACTCAGTTTCCCCAATGCTAACATCTTACATTACTACTTAGTACATTTGTCACACCTAAGGAACCAACGTTGGTGCATTGCTATTAACTGAACTGCACAGTTTATTCACATTTCGCCTGGTTTTTCCCCTAATGTCCTTTTTCTGTTCCAGGAACTCATCCAGGATCTCATATTATCCAATCAGTCCATCATGTCTGCCTAACCTCCTCTGCTCTGTAAGCTTCCCAGACTTGCCTTGTTTCTGATGACCTTGACAGCTTCGAGGAGTGCTGGCCAGGTATTCTGTAGAATGCCCTGCCTTGAGGACAAAAATTACTGTCGGATGTTCTACCCACGTGTAGACTAGAGTTATGGATTTGGGGGAGGAAGATGACAGAGGTGAAGTGTCAATTTCATGATGCCCTAGCCAAGGTACGTGCTGTCAACTTCACACTGTGGATGACATTCTTTTAGCTTTGATCACCTGGCCAGGGTGGTATTTACCAGGTTTTTCCACTATACACTTTCTTTTCCATACTCTTTCATAGGAAGCAAGTCACTGAGTGCAGCCATTCAGGGAGTGGAGAATTAAGCTCCAACTGCTGAAGTGGAGGTGTGTCTACATAAATCATTTGAAATTCTTCTGTAGGGGAAATTTGCCTCTACACCCATTTATTCAATCGTTTATGTATATCAGTGTGAGCTCATAGATATTTATTTAATATTTTGTTTTTTGTTGTTTTGTTTTAAGATTTTTATTGGGGAATTGGGGGGATGGGAACAGTGGTGGGGAATTGAGGGAAGGGGAACAGACAAGTTGCTGTCCTTTTGTTCTTCAGTCTAGTTGTGGAGGACGTTGCTTCACTGGCCCAATTTGGCACCATCACTGCACTCTTCCCAGGCAAGGCAGATCAGTTACCGGCTTCTGGATGGCTGCTCACAGCGGCTGCTGGCCGCTCACGCTGGCTGCTGGCTACATACGGTAGCCCATGGCAACCCACTGCCACAGGGGCTGCAGCCTATACCGTTGCCAGCAACTCATGGCAGCCCAGCTCCAGGTTGAGCTGTTGTTCAGCATCTTAGCTGTGGAGGGCAGTGTCACTGGCCCTCATATGTGGGATCTGAAACGGGGTCCTCTGGCGTCCCAAGCCAGCTCTTAACCAACATGCCACTCGGCCGGCCCTTATTTAATATTTTGGATTTTAACCCAATACAATGTTATTTGTTTGGCTGCTCAGGTTGTCCCAGCTTTGGCCACTGGGAGCGATTTCAGGTTGGCTCTTGTGTCCCTTTGACACTGCCCCAACATTTTGTTTTTTTGAACACTTTCTTACTTTTCTTTCCATATTTATCAGCAAAAATGTCTTACTGAGAAAAGAGCTGTTATGGAAAAAACAGTGTCCCCCTCCCAAATTCATATTATCGTCCTGGCCACTAGTACCTAAGAATGGGACCTTATTTGAAATAGAGTCACTGGAGATACCATTAGCTAAAATGAGGTCATAGCGGAGTTGGATGGGCCCCTAGTATGACCAGTGTCCTTATAAAAAGGGTAAATTTGGACACAGACAGCACATAGGAAAGCACCATGTGAAGATCAGGGTGATGCTTCTACAAGCCAAGTAGTGCCCCCAAAATGCCGGCAAATCACCAAAAGCTGGGTGAGAGCCCTCAGAGGGAACCAACCCTGTTGATGCCTTGATCTTGGACTTCTAGCCTCCAGGGAGGCTAGACTTCTCCCCTCCTGGGAGGAAAAGAATTTCTGCTGTTTTAAATCACTCAGCAGATACTTTGCTGTGTCAGCTTTAGCAAACTAATGAAGGGCTAGTGTCACTGAGCTCTGCATTTCAATTAAAAACAGTTCACCAATGGGGTATCAAAAGAAGCAGGTCCAGGGGAACATTCTAACAAACATCCAAAAGAGTATCCAGGAAACCAGAGGCACGAGTCTACACACCACAATGCCAAGCGTTTTATTTTGACGTGAACAAAGTGTGGGGGCAGGGTTTTCAGACGCCTCATTCCCCCTGCAGTTTTCAGCCACCTGCAGCACGGCTCAGAGTGCTCCTTGCCAAGCACACCTGTAAGTACTAGCAATAACCACCCATCCAGGATAATCACCATCTTCAAGATGCTAAGTACCAGCTCTGTGAGCGCCATGCGCGTCCGAGGTGCCCCGCACAGCAATCCTGCAAGGAGCCGACAGGTGATGCCCTGCATCACAGGGGACCCAGCCAGAGAATGTCAAGTCAGCATGTTTGGTCCCTATTTCATGACTCGTTTTGTCCCACTTGCATCATCTTCCCTAAGTCGTGTCAACAAGTGGCCCAATAGCTCAGAATGGGAGCAGAATATCACACCACTATAACCTGTGCAAATATGGTACAATCATCCAGTATTTAGTACTTTTAGCTTTCAGATGGAAGGATGACAGTCCCTAGGAAAGACAAACTGACTTGTTCTCACAGAGTTAAGACATGGAAGAGGCATGATAGAATCTGATATGTCATCTCACTCCATATCCAGTGACCTCTCTAGAGGTAGAATCCAAGCAACCCGCATGGGTCAACACAGAAACCTTTTTTTCCCTCAGTCACCTGGGAGAAAAGGAACAGGAGGTGACAGTACAGGAGCAGAAGTACTCGTTTGGAAATTATTTTCACTACAAAAGCTCTGGTTCATCTGTATTTTTATGCCTATATTTAAAAAATCAAATGAAGTCATTAAGCTTAGGCCAGCTCAGACAGCCTCTTGCTGGAGCGTGCATTCTTCCTGCAACCCCCAGAGCTCCGCTCTAATCCTTCAAATTATTAAATAATTACTGCGTTTCCCTTGGGGTCACACTTGGCAACAAAATACTGGTCTAAATGAACCACTGATATGACCCAGCTTATACACTTACGTTCTTGACTTCTTAGAAGCAAAAGGATATGAAATGCTTCCGAGGTACAAGCTGGCTGATGAGAAAAGTAAAGGATTTTCTGTGGGGTCTGGAGGGGAGGGGGAGTAAAATGACCAAGGAACCAGTGACTCTGGAAAATATTCCAATAACTTGTGTCATCCACTCCCCCACCAACCTTGTCTATCAGCAAGTCTCCACTGCAGCCCTAGTTCCCTTCCATTGCAAGAGTGGCTACAGCCACAAGAAGAAAACCAAGCATATGGCTCTGTCCTTCTGGGCATTCCTACACCGTTGGCTGGGCTGCTTTGGAAAATCCCATTTTATCTCCTACAGCTATATGACCTCAAGTTGTCGTTTCCAATAAAGTATGCTTCCACTGATTTTTATGAACATAGACAAAAACTGCTACAACCTTTTTCCCCCCTCCCCATCTTTCAAACCAACTGTAGTTGCTATGTAGGGTTATTTGTTTCTAAGGCAACAGCGTACATCTAAGTACTAATGGCCTGTCCTTTTGCCAGGCAACAAACAGCCTTGTGATGTAACTGCACCTGTCTCAGCTACGCGTTACTATGGAGACGCTCCAGTTTCTATGGCTACCATCACGCTAATCGCCTAGCAAAGGCAGACGTACAGCAGTCTTCTCAGAGAGCCCAGCTGTTCCTCCCGTCTCTTGCTGAAGACTGATTGTCTAGGGCCTGTGATGGAATGCTTCTCAACTGAGATGCACAAGAACTTCACTAATGCTATTTCAGAGGATCACTCTGTGCTCCTTTCTGCAGAACACAAGACTAAAGGAAGAATCGGCAAAGCAGTGGGCTATAAAACTGCTGAAGTCTATGAATGCATGCTATTCCTCACTGACATAAACTTGTTGCCCAAGGATAATTTCTCTTAACTGGGTGGTTACAACAGAAAAATTTCTATACATTAAAGACATATCTATTTTTTGCAGGATTGAGAGATAGATGTCAAAGCCAAGCACGATGTAAGATAAAATCAATTTCAAAATTGGGTTCTGTGTTCTGTGGCTATTTTTGTGTTTTCTTTTTTGACTCCAACATTAACAATGCTTTTTTTCCCCAAAAAGGACAAGCTACATATCCTCCCCTCCAATCATATCTTTGTAAAAATGGCAGCCATGACCTCCCTCCCTCAAAACAAATGGGCGTTGGGAGTGTGAGGGAGAATAAGTGTTTCCATTGTTCTCCCGTTCTCTTAACAGAGCCAAACACCAAGTAACCACAACAAAATGATCACTCAGGAGCACCGGCTACCTGGAGACCAGAATGACAACAACTGGGTGAGCCCTTCAGTGAACACCTGTAGTCGCTCTTGGTCGGACCACAGGGAGATGGAATCGCTTCCTGGACTCATTCCTGTTACCTGTATTCCAACAAGTTGTGACACACTGAGAGGTTAAAGCTGACAACTTCTCTTTGTAGATGTTTCTACCCAAGAAGACAATATTTCACCCGCCATGAAGGCTTCTGGAACCATATTCCTCCCAAGCAGCAAAAGCGGTAAGGTTTGCAAGAAATACAACAACGGATATACCTTCATTAACACTTCATTTCTTTCTCATTTATCTACAGCTATTTTTAAAATCATACAGTCTAATCCACACGTTTCAGTGCCCAACTGTGTCAAAAGAAGGCAACGTTAGTAGACAAAAAAAATATAAATAAGTCTGAACTGCTTACCTTTGATATGCCTGAGGAGAGGCGGGAGGTGTATTGAACACGTGTGGGTATGGGTGATAAGGTGTCTTTTTCAAAGCCTGAATTAGATTTTGTCTATACTCTGGGTCTATGCACCACAAGGACCCTTTCCCAATACTCTGCAAAGAAAATCAAAATACAAAAGTGATTAATACAGAAACTTTACGTATTTTGCATTAAGTAGATACATAGCTGTTTTTACAGTTACTTATTGTTAAAAGTCTCTCACATATTTGTTAACTGTTTGCCAGCCTTAAACATTGTAATATTGTACTCTGACAATAGAGTCTTACTCATCTTTAAGTGTGACAGACGAAATGAACATGTTATTACCAGGTGATGCTACTATTAATACAATAATATTGTAATTTCCACATCCCAATGACCAAAAAACGTAGATTCCTTTAATATTTTTCAGTGTCAACTTTGAAAAACATGTTTAAACTTTGAAAAATTAGTTTAAATTTCTCTGATTTCAAACACGGAAAGAAAACGTAGGCTGATACCCTCCAAACTCCATCTCCGATTTAAAAACCCCAAGAGTTCCGTTTTTAAACCATATTACATTGGTGCTACTTTACAAAAACAGAAAAGTAATCCTCTTCTTTTTTCCTACTTACTCACAAAAGTACGACATTTAAGCTTCAAGTGGAATTCTGTAATTGCCTCCCCCAAGAAACAAAAGAACTCAGGCAGCAGTGGTAAACCTAAGCCAGGATCCAGTATTTATTTTTTGGATTCCTCAGTTCAGAATACTCTGCTCCAGGGCTAAAAGAGTCAAATCTTTAGAAGTCAAACTTTAAAATGCAAATTTTATAAAACTGGTTCCATGGAAAAAGGGAGACTTGCTGAGGCCCACTTTCAGTGGGAAGCTTTGATCTATGGACAGGATTTTATTAAAATCATATATATATATATATATATATATATATATTTATTTATTTATATATATATATATAAAAAATAAAGTCCTTCCTGTGAGACCCACTGGAACTGGCAGCAGGCAGATGGGCAGTCAGTGTTCCAAGTGCTTTCAAGCGACCAAATGTACCCAAGCAGTTTGATAAGGTCCTTTGTAAATATTTACCAATTTGGAGAGAAAAGAAGTCAAATTACATAAACCCAGGCCCATCCCATGCTTCCAGCCAACAGACTCTTATTTTCAGAACCATTGTACTACAGGAAGATTTAGAAAGCAAACAAGAAAATTGCTTCACTGTTACGGGGAGAAGGCCCAAAAAAATCTCTGAGGAGGAGAACTAAAAATAAGAGATTCCTCAAATCTTTAAAGAAGCTTTTTAAAATGGGTATTTCGGTCATCCGTTCACCAAATCATTTACTTACAAACTTATTCACGGAACGCATTAAAATTCTTTACTATCAACAACGTCAGCAAGCAGTGGAACTGGCATTAACTCTTCCTGGTGCACTGAGAACAGGGAACTGCTCAAAGCCAAGGTCAGGGGGCTGGAGCCACTATGGCCTCAGTTACCCACCCCGAGGTGCAGGCCTGACCCCAAACACAGGTCCCATTCAGGCTGACCTGCCTTAGCTAAACATCAAAGTTCCCAGTTTAATCATCCCACTGTTTAAAGATAAGAAAGATTTCAACTATGGAAAATTCAACATCCATATATGGCCTTTCCTTTCACGTGTCCATTTTCAAGCCCACATTAGTTCAGGGGAACTGATGAGACATTCTGAGCAAATCAGGCAAGCCACCAAATGATCCGCCATGGACTCTCAGAACCACTCAGCATGCTTTTCAGAAGCTAAGGGGTGGAGAAGGATGGGGGAGCAGGGGGTAGACCAGAGCTGCCAAATTCAGATAATGGGAAACAAAGCACAAAAGCCCACAGAAGCCTGTAGGTAGCTCCTCAGCAATGGGGGTCCTGGCCTGACTGCATCAAAGCTCGCTGTGGAGCCCTGTGACTAGAACACAAAGGCCCCAAAACAGCTACCTGGCCGACCAGGGCCCACATGCAACCCAAACATTTCTGCAAAGAGATTATCTCAGATTATCTCAGTCCTGGGAACCTAAATGGCTTTTGTTTTCATCGAGGTGGTATTTGGGGGTAAGGCCAGTTAATCTTACAGGGAATAAGAACACGACAAAGAAATGGACAATTGACCCGCTCAGGGACATAACAATAGGCCAAGACTGGTTTCTCCTAACGCTGACCTAAGTAGCTTGTTTATTATATTACAATACTATGTACAAACTAAATGGAAAAACCTGCAGGCTTGGGTGGGGGAAGGGGCATTTCACAAGACAACTGATCTAGGTGAGAAAGGCCGGAGGAGTTACAGTAAACAGGTCTGGAGCCAGACATTTCTTCATTTCCTGTGTGGCCCTGGGCAAATCTCAGTCCCACAGAAAATCTTGGCTTGCTCATTGGCACAATAAAGACCCCCCCCCTTAGAGACTGGTGCCAGGCCCCACGATGGCATGATGTGGCAGCATCTACAGGTACTTGATAAATGGCAGACGGTGCCACGAACATTGCCTTTCTGCTAGAAGAAGGGGAGCAAAGCTGGGTACACAATGCCTTTCGTTAAATCAAATCTGATTTTCCCAAGGCCATCCATCATAAATAAGCAACAAATTCCAACAGTGCCACTGAGAGGGGCCTTCAGCGAGCTGATGTGGCAAGCCGGGAGTAAAGTAATAGTCTATTGGTGGGCTGTTGGTCCTGGCTTAGCAGATGCACTTTGAGGAGCTTTTCTGCGTTCTCAGATCCCCCTCTTTACTTCCACCACCGCCCCCCGTCTGCCTTCTATACACCCCTCACTCCATGTCCTCTCTACTATAACGTCTCCCTTGCTCAGAAAGCCAATTCTGAGTCACGACAAGCCAGCTGCTAGAAGTTTTCTTTTGCCCAGATCTTTGCATGGTCATCATGATGAGGTTTAACTGCAAACATGGTCAGCGCAGATTCACAATTCTCATTCACAGCAGGCATCTGCCTGGGCTTTGGCTCATAATGGTTCCCACTGTGATCAGCCCTGCATGTTACAGTAAGAGGGGTCTGAAAATGCTGGTAGGTTTTTACAGACCAGACACTAACTTCAATATCTCATATTACAGTTTCCAATGAGCAAAAAGTAACCAAAAAAGTATCTTCGGGACCCACCCATGTCACTGTCAATCACTTTAATCCCGCCAATGATTGGACAATAGAGAGCTTGAGAAGAGTGTGAGAGAGGCTGGCAATGTGTCTTATTTGCAAGCTTTCTCCTTGGTTTCAAGTAACAATTGAGAATAGTAAAAAAGGTTGACTTGAAAACTTTTAAATGGAAATACACAGAGGAGAGAATGCTTACCTTTCTTAGGCCAGGGGCATTTAATGCCCCTAACTAGGGGAGAGAAGGGTGTAATTTAATTATACTTGTGTAATATGTTTGAGAATCAGCGCTCTTAAAAATATCTAGGGCCGGCCAAGTGGTTCAGTTGGTTAAGAGCTCACTCAAGAGTGCGAGCTCTGAGCAACAGCGGTTCGATGCCCTGCCCGAGCTGAGCTGCCAACAGGTGGCAGGATGGCTCAGCTAAAAAAAAATAAAATAAAATAAAATAAAATAAAAATCTACATCTTATCTAAAGAATATGCTTTTTTTTCCCCATAGTAACTGTGAGGGCCATGTACCATTAAATATTAAGGAATTCAAAATTAAAAAAAAGATCTTCCTTCATAGATACATTTTCGTGTTCAAAATATTTTATCTTAAAAATATGTATTTTGAAGATTGAAAATGTTCCTATGAATGATCTCTCCCTCTCTCTCTCTCTCTCTCTCTCTCTCTCACACACACACACACACACACACACACACACAGTTTGTAAAAACTAATGTGAAATGTACAGAGGGAAAACGACCAAAAAGATATGGAGTAGGCCAAGCTTTCTTATTTTTATTTTTTTAATTAAAAAGCATCTGGGGGGGTCGGCCGAGTGGCACGATGGTTAAGAGCTGACTTGGGACGCCAGAGGACCCCAGTTCGGATCCCACATATGAGGGCCAGTGACACTGCCCTCTACAGCTAAGATGCTGAACAACAGCGCAACCTGGAGCTGGGCTGCCATGAGTCGCTGGCAACGGCAGAGGCTGCAGCCCCTGTGGCAGTGGGTTGCCATGGGCTACCGTGTGTAGCCAGCAGCCAGCGTGAGCGGCCAGGAGCCGCAGTGAGCGGCCGTCCAGAAGCCGGCGACTCATCTGCCTCGCCAGGGAAGAGCGCAATGATGGTGCCAACTTGGGCCAGTGAAGCAACATCCTCCACAACTAGACTGAAGAACAAAAGGACAGCAACTTGTCTGTTCCCCTTCCCCAATTCCCCAGCACTGTTCCCATCCCCGCAATTCCCCAATAAAAATCTTAAAAAAAAAAAAAAAGCATCTGGGGAATAATTGACAACTCCCTGTTAGCAATAAAAACTAAAAACAAAAATAATAAAATAAATCAGTACATAAGAGGGGAAAGAAAATGCAAGAAGAGCCTATATTGTAGAAAGAACTGATTAGTGAGAAAAGTGAAAGAAAAGAGAGAGACAAGAATACAGCTAAATTAAATCTTAAATCTAACCACTAAAACTAACATTTTTTTCCTCCGGAGAGGTCGAGACCCAGGGGCCGCCCGCGGCAGCTCACGACTCTCTCTCACATCCCCACCGCTCTGTGGACCCCACGCAGCAGCATCTGTCAGCTTGTCTGACGTCATCTTTGTTCTGGGTCTCTTTGCCAGGTTGTGAGTTCCTGAGGGTGAGTACCGTATTTTCAACATTGTTTACAAACTGAATGGGCCATGAAATCAGTGTAATGGGCCACAACCAGCATTGTTTTAAGGGAACAAAATAGAACCAAACAGAATAGACTAGAAAACACCTGCAGCAAGTGATATTTTATGAAGCGTGTCTGTGTGTATACATGTATATAGGTATATACTGGATTACAAGGTTCACGTGCACCTCTTACTAGGAATCTGCGTCCAGGGTGGTCAACACTGGTCTAGGACAATGGTTTCCTTTTCTTTTTTTCCCCTTCTCATCGCTTCTGAGGGAAAAAGCCCACTTCCAGCAGTAATGGAGGATACGCAATGTGGGGGAAGGGCCATGCCTTGGGAAGGGGGATAATGAGGCAGGACCCGTATCAAAATGGGGCGGGAGCTGGCCACCCTCATCCGTCCCCTCACCCTTATGGTACCCAGTGCATGCCAGGCACTGTGCAGGATACATTAGTGTGTACAAAACAATACAAAGGGTTAAGAAGGCGGTAAATAAGAAAAAAATATGACAGACTGTAATGCCGTCTATGCAGAAAATAAAGAGAGCGATGAGTTAGAAGAAAGGAACCTGCCCCTGTGTAAAGAATAAATGGGTTGTTGGGCGGCCAGTTAGCTCAGGTGGTTTGAGTGCAGTGCTCATGACACCAAGGTTGCCGGTTCGATTCCCAATGGGCCAAGGAGCTGCGCCCTCCACAACTAGACTGAAGACAACTACTTGACTTGGAGCTGATGGGTCCTGGAAAAAAACACACTGTTCCCCAATAAAATTTCTAAAAAAAAAAAAAGAATAAATGGGTTGGAAGTGGGATGAGGGGATGAGGACCTACAAAGATCTGTTACGAGCTGATGCCATAATGCAGGCCCAAGGCGACCAGGTGGCAGTAGTACAGATGGAAAAGGACAGCTTAGGGATGTATTTTGGAGAACCCATTGGACCCAGCAATAGATGAGAAGTGGCAGGTAAAGAAAAAGGAAAAAGTCATGGTTTGGTTTGAACGAACTAAGTCAGAGGCTGTGATAAGAGTCAAATCCAGTGCTCACTGGAACACGTAACCTTCGAGACGTTCATGTACCAAGAACTACTGATTAAGGAACTTGAAAGAACTTGCTGGACGTATGCCACCTCTCTTCTCTCAGTGACCCCAACCTTCATAGCGAAAGCTCATGAATGTACAGAGGTGACCTGAGGTGATCTGGCTTCACAGGTTCAGTATCAATTGGTTGTTCCACAGAAGCAGTTGGTGAACTTCTCCTTAAAGGGTCCGAGTAAATATTTTAGACTGTGGGCCATACGGTCTCTGCTGCAACTGCTCAGCTCTGCCATTCTAGCACGCAAGCAACCACAGACGTGAACGAGGAAACACGGCTGTGCTCCCGTAATACTTTAGTTTACAAAACCATAGTCCGTGGTTCACTGGCCCCTGCCCTGCGGTTCCTACGCTTGAACCCAGGGTTCAGACTCAGAGCTCCTGGAGTTATTAGAACATAAAGGCCAGGGAAGGGGTCTTCAGGGGTGAGGAAAGATGAGCTGCATCCTGTGGGATTAAGAAGGGAGTGCTTCAAGGCAGGAAAGGGGGGGCACCTGGGGAGGTAGGAGGGACAGACACAGGCTGGAATAAGTAAACCCATCAGTAATAAGAATACATATGTGCTGAGCTGAGCCTAACATCACTGCACTCTGAAATCACCGTGTATGTGCAGCGCACTCTTCCTCTCTGGGTCGGTCTCCTCATCTGCACATTAGGTGGTCAGACTAAATCATCCCATAGGCTCATAGCTCTATGCTTTGAGAATGTGTTACCATAGATTAATTAGTATACACAGTCCTGCAATTCTCCATCTCCCGCAGCTTCCCAACACTGCCATTTTTTCTGTTCTTGGCCAGTACCGATGCGTGGCTAAGTCAGCGAGAAGCACATTATTGAGCCTTCAAAAGGTAGTCCTCAAGTTGGCTGGCCTGGACACTGGACTCAGGGAGACCTGGGATCAAGCTTTGTTTCAATTTCCCAGCTGTGTGACCTTGGGCAAGTTACTTAACTGCTCTGAGCTCTAGTTTTCTCATCTATAAAAATGGGAGGGTTATAATAATACCTGCTTCACAGAATAAAATGAGATAATATTGTGCTTGGCACATGATAAAAGCTCAACAAATACTGATTTCCTTATTATGATGATGAAAATGTTAAATAGACAGCTTTCCTTGACACTAAGCTCCAAAACAGATTGGCCCTGCTCTGATGGGACAGGTATTTCTCTAATGGTGAAACGATACAGACTTCATCTAAAGAAAGAACCACACTGGCTATTTTTTTCCCATTGTATGAGGATACTTTCCTTGGTCTAAAGGAAGCAGTTTGTATCAGATGCACTAAGATGGAGGTAGAAATGGCAGGATACAAACAGAACAAAGCAAGACCTGGTCACTTGAGTGATGCCAGGAGGGATAAGGGACTTTTGAGGAAGGAAAAGCCCTTGCTTGGAGTCACTTCTGGCATCAAGGCCCCTGGGTTCCCAGGACCCTGTGGCCCCTGCCCTTAACAGATTACAACTTGCCACCTCCTTCCTTAAAAGGAGAGGCCCTGGCCTCCACACTGCCATGAGGCAGGATGGGGAGAAGGGCCAATTTAGGGAATAAAGCTGGGGTGGGTGCACAAGTTGGGATGGGCAGAAAGAGCTGGCCTGAGAGAAGAAAGGGTCCCCTGGAAGAGAGGGACAGGCCTCTGAGGACACTGTGCTGTTCTCTTGGGGATCCGTGGGTTCACCCTGGGAACTGGAACTGATAAGGGTCCACTCATTCGGCACCAAAAGACATGCGTAACTTTACAGGCAGGTGGTCCCAGTTGTCAATTTTCAAGTTGCCTTTCTAGCTAATACACAGGTTTATCCAAGATCTGGAAGGCCTGCTTGAAGCCTTCTCCAGGGAACAGCCTAGGCTTGTTTCACTGTGGATACTTAGCTAGTTCCCTGGGGCGCCCTGCTGTAGCCCCCCACATGCTGGTGTTGCCTTGTTTCTGCTCCCCCCACAAGAGTGCCCCCCTCCCCGCTGCTGGCTCCTCCTCTACTGTGCACTGGCTCCTGCTCAGGCTGCTCTGGGCCAAGCTGGCACAAAGGAGAAAGACAGAAGGCCAGCTGGGGGGAGGGGCGGGAGTGGGGCTCTGGAGGGGCAGCCCACAGCTGATACTCTCAGGGCCCCAGGTTCTCCCATCCCCACAAAACTCATTGTCAGCCCCCAGACAAGGCCAGTATCCCAACTATAACAGGTCAAAAACCCACTCAAACTCCATGGCCTAAGGGAAGGCCACTTGGGCTTCATTTTGAAGCAACTCATTTAACAACACTTGTAGAGAGCCAACAGAGTGCTAGGCAGGTCACCATGACACAAAGGATGGGGCCATTTTTTAGGATGCAGAGAACCTCCAGAGGAAGACAAACAATAAACAACTATAAGTGACCACAGAAGCTGGCCAAAGGCTATAGGACAAGAGAGGAGGGAAAAGATGAGTGGGGAGCTGTGGGGAGGAAGGCATTAAAATTGCACATGCGTGTGCAAGCACACACACATGCACATGCGCGCGCACATGTTTAGGCTGGCTCCTCCTGTGGGCCCACTCAGCGCCCACAGCCCTGCTCTGGGCAGCCTCCAGCCTCCACCTGGGCCTATCCCGCGGGAATACACTGCCTCCTAGAGACTGTGCTCACCTCCGTCTTACCTTCCCCCTAACCCCCTGTATAGTCTCACACCCTTAGGTTCATGCTGGCCTTTCATGAGGGTGGGAGGGGCCAGAAGCAATGTCAGGCCCTTCCCAGGGCGCATGCCTGAACACAGCCTCACAGGTGCTCCAAAAGCAGCAAAGGGATTGATCTGGATGGTTCCTGTCTACGCTGCTGCCCTGCTGTTACCAGAAAGAAACCACACATCCCCTCAGACTGGCAGTGTCTTCGCCTGTATATAATACTATCATCTCCACGTCATGTTAGACTTAAATGTGATAATGCACAGAATGCACCTAGCACCGTACCCAGCATCTAAAGGGCAGGTAATTAATTTAACTCTCCTCTCTGTCAAGTCACAAGAGGAGCTGGGTGGTATTGAGGGGGGAACAAACAGAACAATAAAAAGTTATTCTGATGAATGACCATGACATCACGCCACAACAAAATACTTAGTGGGGGAGTGATTCCTTAAAGGCCCCTTTGGTCCTAAAGTTCTGTAATTTATAGTCTAAAGACATCAGGGGGAATTTTCAAATTTTAAAATAGTAAGAGAATGACGTGAGGAACTAGTCAAGTACATGAAAAAATGAGGAGAGGGAGAAAAAACCAAATCTGATTACAAAGAATGTTTTTCTAGATACACCAATGTTCATTTTCCCATAACGAAATAGACAATTACTTCAAAAGAGATTTAGAAAGAAGTCACGTTGGACACTTGGGTCTCCCTAACAAATGTTTGCAGTGTTTTAAATGCCCCACTTTGCTCTCTTATAGTTTTGGGGGGGGTGGTTTTTGGGGGGGGGTTGAAGGGGGAACCCCTTTTGTCTCCAAAAGTAAGAGGGATGGAAAAGAGAAGTCACACCCCAGTCTAGACAGGAATTTCTTTCCTGTCCAGGTGCGCCTCAGTCTAACACCAGTTCTGGGGAGGGGCTCTGCAGGCAGGGAGGGCAGGCCCCCAGGTTGTTGGCATCGGGAGCTGGATACAGAGCACTTGATCATCACAGCCAAGGAAGACTTCAAACTCACTAACAATGGGTCCTCTGAATATCAGACATGGAAATCGCCTCCACTCCTGCAGCCGTCTCACTATTATTTTACAGATGTATTCTAAAAACTATATAGATGGAGATCATGATTAACATGTCACTTGTACAATATTCAGATACATGAAGACTTTGCAGCACCCAGGCTCTTTCAGAAGCACGCCTCGGCTGTCTCTGAACACAACCCCCCCTTCACTGAGCATCCATGGACATGGGGCACAGGAACGCAGGTGGCACAGGTGGGGAAGGAACTGTTTCAGGCAAGTGGTGGCTTGGACAGGTTGTGTGTGTGCATGTGCGCGAGCATGGCTTAATCAACGCAGGAAGAATCCATCATTAACACCTAAATAAAACCAAACAGCCCCAAGATTTGCCTAAAACCAAACTGACCTCTGGGATGGTGAAGTTGGGTGGGAATGTGAAAGGAGCCCAGTTTATCAGTTACCAGCGCTTGTGCTTTGTAGAATCGCTCCTGTCACTCACTGTTTGCTGTAGCCCCATGTCTGCCACATGCCCCCCACGGCCCATGGATGCGATTTCCATTGCGGGTTGGCAGGGGCAAATCTGAAGCATGTCAACTCCCGAAGGCTGGCAGAGCTAGTAAGTGTTTGTTTGGGTTGAAATGAGTTATTGTTTGTACTCTATTGTTTCTGAACTGCCAAAGGCAGTCAATAGCTAGTGCACTAAGATCAGTAATAAAATGAACACCAAAACATCCAAAATGTATTTACTTACACTGTCAAGCTCTACACTGGTAAGTTGTAAGTTCTAATAAAAAAAGGGACGGACACATACACACACACACACACACACACACACACACACACACACACACACACCCTCATACTCCAAGTCAGAAGGTCAAAGAATTGGCACCTATAAAATCACCACTCTTAACCAACTAAATCTTGGATTCTCCCAAATTAGTTTCACCAATCTGTCTGTTGGGGGCCGTTAGCAAGTAAGGGCTAACTATTCTATTCTCCCCTAGCTGAAGCCTCACAGTATTACCTATGCAGGCTGAGAAAGAGTGCAAGCACAGAGACAGTCAAAAAACGTTAAGCACTGGGAAAGGATACAGTAAGTATAAAAACACTTGTTTTATATCCTTCTAATACCAGCCATGCTCCACCACTTCAAAGAATTGAACTATTGCTCCAATGAATTCAAAATACTGCCTGGTAGCAAACCACACACACACACACACACACACACACACACACACACACACACAGAGGCATGCGTGCACACACACGGACCCATGCACCTATGGATAAATTCTTCATGACCATTTAACTGCCAATAACTTTATTATAGAAACAAAGACATGCAAAACTAAAAGGTTTTATTTGTCACCTGATATGAAAGGGGAATGTATAATGATGTGACCAAGTTGTCCGAAATGTGGATATAATCCTTTATGAAAATGTTTTAGTAACAGTTGTTTGTATCACCTACAGTCTTCAAGTTAAAATTATTGCATACACAAATTACAAAGAGGACACATGGCAGAATCAGAGACATTGAACTGCCTTTTTCATGCTTTTTTTAGTTCAAAAGGCAAACTGACTTAAAGCTAGGAGATCTGAGAGAAGATAAAATTCACCATTCATTACTTGATCAGAAATAAAAACTCAGTTACTTTCAAAGTTCAAGGCCCAGAAAAGGACTTTTATAAACATACTGTATGAAGTGGAGGGGAAAGATGACCGCCAGCTCTGGCTCTCGCCAGCACCTCTAATTCAAATGCTGCAAAGGAGAACTAACGCAATGTTTTATGGAGGGTAATAAGGGCACACATGGCTCTGACAAACAGAGACACCCTTGCTTGGATTACAACTGGCCCACCTAGTGCCACTTTATCTTCCGGTTGTCAGTAGTTACTCATCTATTTTTAAATGTTCCAATATGATCTTATCTAATTGGCACATATAATTCGATCATCTTATTTCCATAACTAAAAGTTGCTGAATGTACCTGGCCAGGTAAAAGTTATAGTTATTAGTTCTAGGGTGTGGGTGTGCTGGGCCGGAGTGATGGTCTTTTATTTAAAAAAAAAAAAATCATAAAGACCCCCCCCCTCTCAATAAAACATACACACAGGGCTGTTGGGTTTTGTTTTGCAGGGAGTGGCCATTGGCCATAGGACGCACCAGTCACCCACTCACCCACTGGGGGGCCCTGCTTAGCAACCCAGCTTTGTGCCGCAGCCTCTTGCTATAACCGGCTGGCCCACTTTGAGGGGGAAACTGCCTTTACGGCGCCTCTCCATGCCAGCACAAGTATTCCAACAGCATAGGGTGTCTGAGCACGGCCTGGACCCCCGATGTTGTGGCATCTGCTACAAAGATAAATTTGAAACCATCCCTGACCCGAGTGGAGTGGGAGGAGCGACAATGACCAAATGGCATTGTGTTATGGCTTCTTTTTCAATTCTGGTAGATGCTAGCCAAGACAAGGACGGAGCCCATAGGAGCAGAGGGCACGGCAGCATGTGCTGGGGGGGGGGGCGCGCATGTGTCAAAGAAAACTGTAGTAAGAGGTAGCTCGTTCCAGAGCTCACCACAGGCCTTATTAAGCTCCAGGCAAACGAAGAGAGGGGAGGGGGCAGAGGGAAAGGGGGATGGAGTCAGAGAATGAACTAACCCTGTGATTAATGCTACCAGGACTGAGGAAAAATTTAAGGGAACAGAGGCTACCAAAAAGACTAGCTGATCCGAACCCCAGGAGCCACATGAAAGCCTCCGCAAGGCCCGAGAGACCTGACTCAGCAGCTGTCTCGAGCCAGGGCACCACAGCATCTAAACCCTCCCTTCTGAGCCTCACATTTAGCCCCCTGAAGCCCATTTCAGAGTACTGAAAAGGCAAATGACACTGGTCCTCAATCTCATCATCACATCTTTCTCACAAATTGTGTTCCTATGAGGTCCTGTGAAAGGTGGGAGTTGACAATAATCTTAGTATTTGCAAATCTATCCTGCAGATTGCAGAGTTTGGGTGATAAAGTGATGTGTGTCACCTGGAAATGCCAGTGTCCCAACTGAGCTCTGGTCACTATGGGGATTCCCCTGGGCGACAAGCACAGTGACCCAGAGGACTGTCCCAGGGTCCTAGGAGCACCTGGAACAACACATCTGTTTCTGGACACTTCTCAGCTCACCTGAGAACTCACTACAACCTGAGACACAGAACACAAAGAACAGTCTTCAAGGGATTCAACCAGCTCATCAGGTTGATTAATAGCTGACAAGGACTCAAGGAGACACGATAGCAAACAAGAGGTCTGCCAGAGAGGAAGTCTGCCAAAGGTTATGAGTTACCTAATTATGAGGCACGGGGGGCGGGGGGAACCTCCGGCTTCACGAACACTTTACACGGTGCGTTCGTCTCACTCAACGGTGTAAAAAGGCTCTGTGATCACTGCATTAGCCCCGAACGGGATCTCAGTAAGCAGCCGGTATTCCTATCTCCCCACAGGGGAGGACAGGGACAGGGGAGCTGGGGGTGTTGTCCAGAGCCACACGGGGGATGTGCACCCACCACACTCTCAGGCCATGCCACCACGATTCATGAAGCTTTCCAAACACAGTCAGCCCTTAATTATCCATGGAAATCTTATGCTCAAGAAATGGTAACTCAGTACACGCATATTGCTGAGTCACCTGGCCTACATGTCAGTCCAACTTGGAACTCAAGGTATAACCGCACATTTAGCGGTAGTGATGATAAGAGTAGTAACAGCAGTAACAACCATTAGCATTGAGAACTGACTGTGTGCCAAGCACTTTCCTAGGCTAAACCTGCATTATTCCATTTAATTCTCCCAACAAACCCAGGAGGTGGGTAGTATTCGGTTCAGATAGGTGAACTAACATTCAGGTTCAGACAGGTGAACTAACCTGCCTAAGGTGCAATGCAGTTGGACTCAGGAATCTGTAAACCTCACCACCAAAATGAGAACCTGTGACAAATACCATTAGGTAGGTAGCTAGATGCATTAAAACCATCACAAATTTCCAAGTCAAATCACGAATGATTTGGGGATCGTTTACCATACTAAGTAATGTACATCCTTACATGGGAG